AAATCAGCAGAGGAGGTTTAGAACAGGTGCTTGGAGAGAAAGCTTTCTAATAGTGAGGATGGCGAAGAACTAAATCAGATCACCTGTGAGGGTTGTGGAGTAGGCTAGTTCAATGCCTGAAAATTTTTTTGACTTGTAGACCCTTTCTACAAGTTTTCCCACAGAGAATACCTTTTACAGTCAAGTTTACCAACAGCAACCTTGCTTTGGGAAGTTCCTATCCCTCAAGTGTCACAGTCCCTGAACCACAAAAATCACTGGCAGAGGTTTTCTATGCCTCAGTGCCTCCTTTGAAGTGATGGTAAGTAGGGGCAGAAGCTCCATCCAATGCCTCAGTAAATGGGCACAGCATCGCTGCTGCTGAGCTGTCTGACTCGTAGTATTCTCCCATGAGTTTCATTGAAGCAGAATCTGGCTTTAGATGACCTGTGAGCAATGCAGAGAACTGTGTGAGAACTGACAGGGAACCTGGCTGTGTTTGTGTTTTTTTAACCCATAAAATTTTCTGCTGTGGAAGGGTTGTAGTGAAGGAGCTCTATGTCCTGTCTTTGGTAATAATAAATAGGAATTTTTTTGTATAAATCTGCCCGAGTGTTGCTGGGATGGGCAGGGGGGTGGAGTGGGATGGGATGGTGAGCCTGGGTGCTAACCTGTAGCCTGACCAGTATAGATCACAAATCAGAGAGAGGCTGAAATGATAGGGGGAGAAAAAAAGCGTACTACGTGTAGCAGCAGGTTTGCATTTACAAAGAGCTTTAAATCTCAAGTAAAAACACATCAACATCATGCTGCAAAAACACTAGGATGGTTGTACCAGTCTGGAAGCCTTTTCACTGTAGGAAGTACCTCCATGTTTCCTTCTCCCTGTCATTTGCCTTCATTCCCCCTGGGCTTTTATATTTTGTTACTGGCTTGGTATCTTCCCTATCCATCAGTCCGGCACATCCCATTAAGCAGCTTTTCTTGATTGACTAATGAGATGCTGTATTTGGCAATGCTTTTAACCCTGCCTTTTATTACTCAGATACATTTTCTGCATTTTCACTTGCTATTCTTTAGTGGTTACTCTGTTGTAACTATTTACTGTTATATGCCCATCACCTCACTCGGATTTCTTAGGTCAGTTGTTACCAATCTCTCCTGTCATTTCCTTGCCCAATCCTTCCCAATCATTGTCCCTTCTGCTACTTCATTCAGATTTTTTCTACCATCTTCCCCATACAGTACATCACTCTCCTCCTATGCCCAAGACCCCCTTTCAAATAATCAAAAAGTAAATAGAGGATAAAAGCATTTCCAGAGGGAGATTCATCCCACCTTAAGATAGCTGTTTAAGCCAAGCAGGATGAATCATGTCAGTGGGTTCCTATCTCTTTCATTAACTACGGAAGTCTAACTAGGACAGACCAGATACTTACAGAGAGTTAAGTATAAGTAAGATGAATACCATCCATGTAAGTTGCTAGGACTTAAAATACTGAGTATTAAGACAGTGTGTGCTACTGCTGTCATTACAATGACAGAAGGGCAATTTAGGAAGCTATTTGTAAGTCATAGGATTTTGGCAGTTGTTTAGCCCACAGCACTAAGACTATTTAGAATTAACACATTTTTGAATCACCTTTTTGTGTCCCAATGATTAGCAGCATAAAATTCCAGGTGCAAGCTGGTCTTTTAATCCAAATAATAGCTTTTTCCCCATCATACATAAATACAGCCTTCACATAGCAGTATGTTAACTGCAGTAATGCTATTCTCAGAAGATTAAAAGAAATATTCCTGCTTTCATCTGCCTAGCATATTCTGAGGCTGTGAGGTATTTCAGAATTACCATAAATACTGGTCTAGATGTGCTCTTTCAGCTTTTACTTAAAGGGATTGCTGTATTCTTGACACCTGCTTATTTCATTCTCCAAAAATGTAACCTGTGAGAATAAAGAAAGTAGCCCAAAGACAAAATGTAGAGCTCCTTCCTTCTGTTGTGTGGTGGCTTTACTGACATAACTCTTAGACACCAAGATAGAACCAAGACTGTAGGAATTCAAAAATTCTTGGGTTTTGTGAGGTCAGTGATATACTTTCCACTGACAAGATTTTCATAGACGTGGTGTATGGTAGAGTATTAATGTAAATCCGTCTGGTTCTGCCAGCATAGATGCTGAGGCTGCTGTTTACCCAGTTCAGAAGTCCTGTGTAACCTGGCCCATTGTACAGTACAGCTGCCCAAACTTCTCTTGTGTGCTCAGGCAGGGCATGGGTGCACCATGCATCAGCCACACTCTCGTAGTTAGAGTGTGTCTGCCCTTGTCTTGTGGCATTTCGTGTTTACTGTGGGTGCGATTGGCAGAGGGTGGCTAACGTGCTGCAGTTCTGTACATTAATAATTTGTAAAGGTATCCATACCCTCCAGGAGGTGTTAATGGCAACATGTGTGTTCATCCTGTGGTTATTGCTGGTGTAGCACAGTTGGGTGTATGTGGCTTGTTGGTGCCCTTGGAAACCTACTGGAACTTACCTGTGTAGACATGCCCAACAGAATGATGCCCTGTGTCCATGTCTGATATGTTTGGATGTTAATAGAAATATGCTATTAGCAAAATATGCAAAAGGGATGTATCATTAAAACCAGAGTTAAAAGACCTTCATGAGAAGGTTTGGCTAATGTCCATACCCAAACAGTTAACTGCTAACTCTGCTTTTCCTGCATGGAGGAGTGCGACAGATTGGAAAATTAAACGTAAGCAGGGAGAAGAGTTACAGATAAACATGATTAGCAATAACCTGTAGAGAGATTCATGGTAGTGTCTCACTGGCAATTAAATAGTCAATGGCTTGGACAGAATCCTTATCACAAGAAATCTCTATATTGCCAACTGTACACATTGCTCTCACACACTATGGGATGTCTCTGCTGCTACTGAGAGATGGTGTGACTCTCAGCTGACTGCCACAGCTATTAGGGTGGAGGTGAGGAAATTCTGCTAAACAAATTTGAAGATACACAAGTAATTGGAGGGAGAGAAGGTACATATCTCTCTTCTGTGTGTCCATACATATTTGTGGATTTTCAAATATATATTTTATGCCTTCCCTGTGTGAAAGTTCTAAGAATCTGCTAATGTATCTAGCTTGGAAATGTGAACCACACTGACACGATGCCTTTGTTTTTTCTGGTGCAACTCCTATGAGTCTAGATGATATGCATGATAAATCTTTCACCTTGGCAGAGAGAGAGAGAATTGTTTAATATTTAACCAAGGTTGTCTTTTACTTCAACATCCATTGATAGGGGACTGCAGTAACAAATATGTAAAACTGTATTTGTTTTTGCTAAGAGGAGTGCTTGGAAGGAGAAAGGGATAACCTTTCCCTAAGGAATAAGCTTCAATTACAACAAAAGATGAGACTGTTTTTAGAATAAATCAAATAAAGCCCACATTACACTGAAATAGTTTAATACTTGTTTAAATAGCACCATATTTAAAACACAGTAGTTGAAACAGTGGCTTTTGAATCAATGTGGTTAAATCGTGCAAGTTGCCGTGTCTGTTGCACTCGTCTACTCAAGTTCTCACACCAGACTATCTGATTTTCCCATGGGGAGCAGTGCGTCAAAGTTCATGTCATATTATCTCCTGTTTACTGAAGAAAATGGTCCAGTGAACCAGTTATCTGAACTCACTCAATCACAGATTCTTTAAGGTTGGAAAAGACCTCCAAGATTGAGTCCAACCTTTGACCGAACAGCACTGTATCAATTAAATCATAGCACTAAGTGGCATATCCAGCTGTTTCTTGAGCACCTCTGGGGATGATGACTCCACCACTTCCCTGGGCAGCCTGTTCCAATGTCTGACAACCTTTTCAGTGAAGAAATTCTTCCCGATGTCCAAACTGAACCTCCCCTGGCACAGCTTGAGGCCATTTCCTCCTGTCCTGTCCCTAGCTGCATGGGAGAAGAGGCCAAGCCCCACCTGGCTACAACCTCCTTTCAGGTAGTTGTAGAGAGAAATAAGGTCTCTCCTGAGCCTCCTTTTTTAACAGGCTAAACACTCCCAGCTCCCTCAGCTGCCCCTCCTATGACTTACTCTCCAGATCCTTCCCCAGCTTCATTGCCCTTCTCTGCACATGCTCCAGCACCTCAATGTCTTTCTTGAAGTGACTCCCACTCATGCACTCTTCTTGCTAAAGAAAGAATTATTTTTTAGTATCTGTAGATTCCTCAAGGTTAGATAAGGACCATGTTTCTAGAACTGCATTTAGTTACATTTACACCACTGGGAAAAATTCCTGTTATTGATAGTAAGCATCCTGCCTGGCCTGCTTTTTCATCCTTCCTGGAAATTTAGCAGAGTTTTTAAAGGGAAAATGTAAAATTAAAAAAGGTTTAACCCAAATAATCTTTTTTTTTTTTTGGTGACCGTTTAATAGATCTGAGCTGCATCTCAGCTTTGTACAAATCTGGTATGTTGCAGGTAGGAAAGAGCTGTGTCATAATTTCCTGTACTCAATGCATTTTTTACCAGTCTCAAACTAATTGTACTTGTTTTAGTGACATGCGTATTTGTTAATCATTATTACATTTTCTCTCATTGGGTTTGTAAAATATCTCAGCAATCTATAGAAATAAGCCTACTGAGAGAATGCTGTAGTTTGCAGATAAAAAAGATCTACTACAGCTGTGGAAACCCAAACAAGAAAAAAAAACCCAAACCTGTTTTTTCACAGCTTTTAAAAAATTTTGCTATAAAAGATATTATGAATAGGGTGTTAAAGTAGAATTGAGGTGCCTATGGGCTAAAGAGCTGGAGATTTCACAGAAAATGAGTGGGCACACGTAGCTTTCAAATACTTACTCTGTTGGGCTGAAATCTGTAAGCTAGAATTGCCTTTGAATACCTAGCCTTGCTGATTAGTGTGTAGGCTTTCTACCAACACTGACAGAAGAAGCCTGCAGGAGCACGGGCAGGCAGTGAGTGATGCTGTGCTGCCTCTTGCAGATGCGCACAACGCGCAAGGTGTCGGTGTGGCCCGTGGGGCTGGTCGGGGGCCGGCGGTACGAGCGCCCAGTCGTGGAGAACGGCAAAGTTGTTGGCTGGTACACGGGCTGGAGAGCGGACAGGCCCTTTGCTATCGACATGGCAGGTAAGGATCAATTCACGTGACACATGAATGTTTCTCATAATAACTGATTTTCTCAACGTAAGCAGCTTTTAAAACTTCCCAAGTGTCAGCACTGTATGCAGCCCTTTGGCACTAAATATCCTGGAAGTCTTAGCTTGCACATCTTGTCTAATTAAGTTGCTGCTTGGTGATATCTGAAGTTACTTTCATTTGTTTTTAATTTGATGTGGCAACTTGGCTTTTATGTTGTATAAACTGTTTGTCTGAAACAAGTTAATTGTAAGTTAATTCATCGAAGTAATTTTTGCAAGGAGCACCTGCCTGTCATTGTGTCATCAATCTAAACCAGGTAGTATAAATACAGACCCTTCGTAGACCTCATGTTGTAAAATGCTACTGTATCATAAAATGATTCATTTTGTATTGGTTATTTGGAATGACAGTGATAACTGTAGATGGATATAGTTTGAAACACTGGGCTTAGGTGAAAAATCACTGACAGCTATTGCCTAGTAGATGAAGGCAGAAAAGCTTCAAAATGGATGTAATCAATCTTCTGCAGTGAAGTTTGCACACCACACAGCTCTGTCTTGCTGTCAGTCCGTGCTTAGACAATCTCTTGAATATATTCACAACTGCCACATGAATCACCACTGTGCAGAAGTCCAATTTCTGATGTAGCAGCAGCTGATTTCCTAGCAAGCGATACGATATTTGCACTTAGGCATCTTCTGTATCAAGGAGGGAAGGGGAAAAGTAGGAATACAAGGGCAAGAACAGGAGAGAAATAGCCGCTTTTGTTTTTCCTCTGGTACACTTATAGTTTGGGAGAGGGAAAAGAACAGTGCTTTCTCACTTTGGCAGAATATATTAATTGAAATGTCTGATGATAAATATGTACACTATATACAGTTGTATTGGTTAAAAAGAATAAAGTACTAATTGTTTTTAACACCTCAAAGATAGAAACATCAGCAGGTGAATTTTTCTGTACTGTAGGGGCATTTCAAGACAATAATACCACCTGGCATAAAAATTAAAATTTGGGTGTTTAGGTAGAGGCATTCCACAGGGGAGATGTAGGTATGTCAATGCCCAAACCCATGCAGCGTGTCGAGGACTGCAGCTGTGCATTTTATCAGTCTCTGCCTGTGGACTCACAGATACCCATTGATACAGTGCTGTAGAAGGGATTACTGATGGGCATTATTTAGGTGAGAGCATGGTTCATAATTCATTAGCAGCAGGCAAAAAGCCATTACACAACAATGGCCAAGGGACTCTAACCCAGACATGAAGAGATACTTGGAAAGTTCTTAAGTTGTGGTTTACTTTGCAGTTGCTGGCTGAATCACTGGCATGAGGGAAAAGCAGCTCCATTAGGAGCATTACCTGCTTGTACTTTTATGAAAGTCACAAAAGGGAGGGTTATAGAGACAAAGAAACATTGCTAGTACAGGAGGTTACTGCAGATCCACAAACAAGGAGTTACTATTTTGTAAGACAACTTTTATTAGTCTTCAAAAATACTGAAGAAATTAAATTACATTTTTAATTTCAGCAAGGAGAGAAATGGATGCTGTGTAGAGCGCTAAAAAAATTATGTGAAAGTTGCATCTTCAGTCCCCTCAGGAATACAGTGGAAGGGCACTAACAGAACAGAACTGCAAATCCAGAACTTCATAGGTGTCTGAGCAGGCACAGTCTACAGGACACATGTCAACACTCAGTTTCCTACCCATGCCCTTTGCTCCCGACTTCCCAACACACCCCTGCAGACTTGGGAGGCTTGCTAAAAAAACCTAAGTCCATGCTGTGGTCCATCACTGGCATTTCTCCATCTCCTCACCAAACACACAAGTAATTTAGGTTATACTGCACATAAGGAAGTTCAAGGACCTCTTTTGAAAATATTGCCATGAAAAAAGTATAGGTGCATATATTAAACTGCTCAGCTGTCTACAGTTAATGTTCTGACAGCCAATGCTGCAATAAGGAAGCTCCCTTTGGTTTACTGAACTATCTTTTCATAATGATTTTCACAAAAGTTTGATCATGAGTCTGGGTGTGAACACAAGACCGCTTAAAAGGTTTGGAATCATTGATATATCTTGTGGCTGTTCAGATGAAGCTTTTAAGCACATAAAACTTCTTATTCTAGGCTTCAAAATACAGAGTCAAATTCAAATTACTGCAAGTGGAGACAGATCCTGCTGATTTCACTGGGCTCAGCTCAAAGACCCTAGCTGGCCAACCTCCCTAGACTCCACGAAACACACTCACACATTGCAGTCACATTAGATCAGTTCATTAAGCACTGGTTATTTATTTTGAGAAATTTGTGGCTGACACTGCTATTCTCCAATGCTAAATTGCATTCAGAAAGCAGAGTAGCTGTTTCCTGTGCTGCTTCTTGACTGGCAACCAACTCACCATATGAATTAGTTCAGATGTTATCTAAGTTCTGCTTCAGTTTTAACTGTAGGTGAGTTCTAGAGTTTGACACAAACTTCCTTACCCTCAGGGAAGAAAAGTGAGAAAGAATCTTGAAAGCAAAAAGGTGACACTGATTCTGAATTAGGCAGTGTGTTATTTAGTATGGACCTGATTTAAAGTCTTCTATATTAAATACTGCTGTTTTAAATTTGGCTTGTTCCCAGTGCCAGAATTTTGGACCACTCATGAAAACATGTTACATCATGATTCTCCTAGTGTCAGGATTGTTCAAGAAGGCAGGCCCATGCTTTACATTAGCATTCCAGGAGTTACTTCAGTCACAGGGATTAGTACATGCCTGTAAATGACTAGGCAAGCAGATTTTGGATGTGTGGTGCAGAGCTCATCCACTGTGCCCGAAGTGCCTCTGCTAGGGCCTGAGCAAACACTTTTTTTTTTTTTTAATTTTCATTTTGCTATAGTTATGAGTTCTTCAGTACATCTCACCTTTCTTAGGGTTCCCTGAGCAAAAAGCTAGTCTATTCATGACACCACAAAACATGGCATATTTTGACTGACTCTGAAAGAGCCACTGCTGGAAGACACAAATGCAAACAAAAAATTTTGAGTGGCTATGGCAGATGGCATGCTCAAAAAACCAAACCCAAACTTCTCCTCCATGAAAGGGTTAATACTATTTTAAACATTGAGTTTACAATCAAGAGCCTTTCATGGTGAATTAATTGTGAGCAGATGCCTTTGTTCTGAACTGCAGAAACCCCTGGTTAGCCATCTCTGCCTTATTGCAACCCAAACTGTGTGTCACAGGGAGAACAGTGAGAGCAGCAGAGCCCAAGCCATGGCACATCCAACAAGCCAAAGGTGGTACCTTAAACCATGTGGACACCAGTAGGTCTGTTTCTACATTAGCATTTATACACTCCAGAAATTATAAACTCTCAGTTTCCAGCTTGCCTTCAGCCACTATGCTATCTAGAACATCTAGGAAGCAATGGCATTAATCATGGCAACAAAATCTTTAAACACTGGCTCAAGTTTAACTGGATGAAAAAAAAAATAGTTCTGCCTTTTAACAGAAGCCACTGATCTAACACAAGTCAAGGTGTGAATTAACAGGAACAGCTTATGTTGAAAGAAGCACACATATAATCTTTGCCACGTCTCCCAGGTATCTTATCCTCCAGCAAATTAATTCCTGTCTAGGTGGTTCTTCAGCCAATTAGATTTAATTTACAACCTTGCATTAAACACCATAAAACCCCCAAAACACCTCTTCACACTCCAGCTATGAAATTGTCTTGTGGCACGTCATATGAGCTTAAGCCCAATATGACCTTGTAGGAATAATGATTAAGTAAAATAACTGTATGCATGTAAGCACTGTTCAGTTATGCTACACTGGAGACAGTAATCCCAAATTAATCCCTGTTTGGTGATAGAATTCAAAATAACAGCATATTTTCATCTATTAGCACAGGCTCATTATCTACTGAGAGAAATTAGTAGAGAAATTAGTGCCAGTCTGGTCAAAACCTGAGCCATCTCCTCTCTTTCTGACACCAAAATGATACATCTGTGATAAAAAGTCAGTGGAAAGGTGTCACTAGAAAGTGGCTTTCTCCCAAGTCCATCTTACAAAATGTCATACATGTGAAATTAAAGCAAAGCTGAAGAACTAAAATAGGCAGGACATAAATCTCCTTGCATTATTTTCTCTCTTCAAGTTGTTGCTTTATTGGATTTTTTAAGAAACAAAGACTGCATGACCACTCACCAAGGAAACAAACCTCAGGCCAATCTGTGCACAGTAGTCTGTGTCCTTGCCACCCACAACACTCAGTTTATAATTTAAGTTTTATTTGATGCCTGATTTTTGATAGCACCCTATAATGGCAATTTGCAATAGCATGGTAGCAAGGGCATGTGTTACATGCAGGGGGCACAGCCCATCTGAAGATCTGTGCATAGGAGAAATCCACCCTCAGAACTCCGTGCAATTTTCTCAACAGAGGAGCAAGCATAAGAAATTAATCAGTGTATGGATAAGTATGGGCTGAGGGAGCCAGGGAGCCACACTGACACATACTGAGGTAAGCAGTGGAAAATCCGTGCCTCTTCTGCTTAGAATGGGATTCCTTCCCCACTCTAAAAACTAGGCCACTACCTTAATTATTTTGGTGTTTACTTCATTTATGCATGGCCAGCTTGAATCCTAAATCTTTCTGAAAAGAAACAGCAGCTCACACAGCTGATCAGGATTCCAACAATGCCTTCCCATGCAAAGGAACTTTTTTTTTTTTGGCGCCCAAAATTATCAAAGCCCAGTTGCATCCAAAATTTATTGCTTGTTCTAACTGAGGAAAAAAACCCAACAAAACCTAACCAAAACCACTGAACTGAAGCAGGTCAATTTGTTCATCAGTATTAAGTCCAGGGTCCCTTTCAAGGTGGTGCAAGCTGGCTGTACACACTGCTGCTGTCTCATGCTCAGGGAGTTTAAACACTCAACCTCAGCTCTTCCCAAATGATTACACTTGCCTACCAACAACGCTGGAATGGAGCCCATCTTGTGCTCTCTCATGACCAGTCTACAAGTTGTAGGAAGCAGGAAAGGCCTGCAGCCTGCTGCAGACAAACCCCTGGTGGGGAAGAGAAGTCCAGAGCATTATTCTGCCTGGGAGCACTGAGCTAAGCCCAGCAGCTGCAGCAGAGAACAGCTGGATCCCAGCAGTGATGCTGCAGAGGTTAACTGAGTGAGGACAGGCTACAGCCAAGGTCTCACACCTCCTGGAAGTCTTTTATTCACTAGACTGCTCTGCAAGGTGTGGGCAATATGCCCTCTCCATTTAGACACCTCTTCTTCTTTATCTCAGACAAGATATAATGTATAAAGTTACAAAAAAGATATAACATATACATATGTCTTCAGCAACTGTGTCCATCAGTGAATTGGAACCTTAGTTTATGTCCAACCCATAGTTTTTATCGGGGTCCAAATCTTTATTTAAAACAAAACAAACTTTCTGGTGTCTTCTGTGCTTTCCTGCAAGCAAGAGCAGGAACCACTGAAAGTGGTTTCAGTACGCCTTTCTTTACACGTGATGTAATAATTACTTCCTTATATTTTCCTCTTCAAAAGGCCCCCACAAAAGTCACAGATACTTTCAAGGAAAATACAGTAGCAAGACAACTGTAGTAAAAATGGGTTAGAATTATATTAAGTTAGAGAAAACTATTCTCAATTTTAAATCAATAATATTTTAATACTGGCTTTAGAATTAAATGTTCTTGCCGTTTTCCAGAACTGATGTGAAAACTGTTACTACTTGTGTCATAAAGGGACAGCTGGAACCACTCTGAACTGAGGAAGAAAGGATTTCTTTGGTAGGCTTGGCAATCAGACATAACGAGTTAGTTACAAATGTCATTTTTCTTTACAAGTCTATCAGTCTAGTTTTGAGTCCTACTGAAAGAACCGTACATGTGACTGAGCATAGCTGAAGGAAAACTGGAGAGTTCTATAAATAATGGCAAGTTGGAGATTCATGGGAGCTTCTTCAGAGAGGGCGAATTTGTTCAAACCAGTGATTTCTCAGTGTGCAATCTCCCTTCAAGGGACCTAATGCACGTTACTGGAGGAATGCATTGCAGAGAGGTGTGTGCACCAAGAAGTCCTTTCAGCCGTGCTGTGCCATGTACAGATCACCTGCAGACTGCCTGGCAGACCACCAGTGATAAAAGTCATTCACAAGTCCACAATGACTACACAGTGTGCAAGGCAGAACATTAATGTGGCTTGTCTTTCACCAACAACGTTAAAAACTCTACAGGCTGAAAATCCCCAAAGATCACAGTTGTAATGTATTTTAACCTTTTTTCTGACTTTCACCTTTAAATGTAGAAGTGTTTGTACAGTATAAATTTTATACATTTTATTTTACTTAAAATTGAGTTTTATTTCTTAATTAGAAGTAGAAAGGATGAATAGTCCAGGATCTTAGCAATATCTGACTTTTCAGGGCAAAAAAATATATATTCCTTACATGACAGGAAATAGATTAAACATGTTGAAAATATGGTGCAAAAAACATCTGATTGTATCTTGAGGGCAAAACACAGAAATGTAGGACATACAAACCTACCAAATATTCATATAATCAAATTTAGACAATTTTAAAAAGAGCATGGGAGATTTCTAGGCTTCAATGTAACTGCACAAAAATGTAAAGCCTAAAGGTTTTTCTTAACTTTTTCCCTGTCCCCCTCTATCCAAGGATTTGCTGTGAGTCTTCAAGTGATCCTGTCGCATCCCAAAGCCGTGTTCAAGCGTCGTGGTTCTCAACCAGGAATGCAAGAATCTGATTTTCTGAAACAGATAACAACAGTGGAGGAACTGGAGCCAAAAGCAAACAACTGCACAAAGGTACCAAGTTCCACACTTTCTAAACAGCTTTTGTGTCACCTCTGTAGATGACTGTACTGACACAAATGTTATTTTATAGGTTCTGGTATGGCACACGAGAACAGAGAAGGTGAATCTAGCTAATGAGCCAAAGTACCACCTGGATACAGTCAATATTGAGGTATGATGTGGGGAGACAGTCACACAGCAAGTGCAGGACAATGGACGCGTCAGGACGTGTTTGAATTCAGCCAGTTAAAATCATCTGGTTCTGTGTGAGACCTGATGGACTTCTGTGGAAACAAAAGGAAGTTGTCAGAGACTCTAGTAAGCAAATCAAGTGGGTGTGCTTGTTCTAACTTGTCTGCATGCATTTCTGAACTCTCAGCTTAATAAACTGACACTTACCTTTGTTTTAACGCTGTTTCCACATAGAGAAATGTGGTGTAATGGTATTTTTTCAAAATCATTATTTATGTATATACTTTTTGTATTTATCCAGCTTAATGGTGTAATTATAAACTGATTTTAACTCACAAACTGTTGATCTAAATATCTGCATAAATGGATCCTCCAAACTGAACATGTTTTACTTCATTAGAAGTAGCGGTCAAATAGGTTGTACAATAACAAAATAAAAACCCAGAGTCACTTATGGATTTATCCTTTTAATATAGGGAAATAACATTTTATCATTACGAGGCACCATAAAATGTAAACACAATCACTGTCATAAACCTGGATCTCTGCAAGGAAAAATATATCCATTCATTTGGAGTTACCTTGTATGCATATTGTGCCGCCAGTTCTCAGCATTAATACTGTGGGTGTGCCTCATGAGCCAGATCAGAGACTTTATCACAGGAAACTCAAATGCATCCAATGCTCATTTTTAAAAGAATAAACTATTGATTTGTAGAACTACAGTAACATCCAGGTTTATCTTTCTTTCAATAACCACATTCCCTGTTATGCACACCATAATAACATCACAGTGAAATGTATGATGAAACAAAATTTGTTTGATACACTAGAAAACATTGCTCGGTGATACATTTACATTCTATTTATATATGATTAAACATTTGTTCATAGAGTACCTTCTACAGGATTACTGGGTAATTTGGGGGGATTGGGGTTCATATTTTTGGATATTACTAACATGATAGCTACGTCCCTTATATGCAAACATTTGATCTAGAATTTTGAGGGAAAAAAATCAGTATGTGGTTAAGCAGCTTCTTAATATGGTCTATGAAATCATATGCATTGTATGAAAATGCTTCCAATGATGTATAAATATATTCCTGATCTGCTTTTCACTACATCAAATTTAAATCAATATAGACCACAACACGGTCAGTCAGTTATATTCTTAATCTGAACAGCTGGGAAAAAAAAAAAGAATATATATGTACATGGAAGGAACAGCAAAAGTAAATGCATTTGAACAAGGAATGTTAGGTGGCTGTTCTGGGAGAGACTTCTATTGCAACTTTCATTTCCACAGTTGTGTGCTGAGAGTCTGGCCAGAGGAGCTTCCAGTCCATCCTGCCGCTGTGCTGGGGGGCTGGCCAAAGCCCATCACGTTGCTGGAACTGCTGAGGTTCATTCCAGCCATTTGCTGATTCATCTGTGAAGCACAAACACGTGCATGAGGCTGGTTAGCACTGGCACTGAAACACAGCATGCTGCTGGCCAAAAGCAGTCCTGCCTCCAATCAGCCACTCAGTTAAGAGTACATTTCCCTAAAAATGTTTCTCATTAAATAAAAATACTGATCCAATCTAAGTTTCCAAGCCTTTTTCCATGCTACCAGCTTTTCTGGAGCCCTTCAATCACCATCATACACCAGCTGACAGGCTGCAGCACTTGGTGTATGTGTCACATCTGTATGAAAGTTCCACTAAGGAACTGACACAGCATGTGAAGGAGGTGGCTGATGTGGTTGGTTGGTAAGAGTTTGCTTTCACAGTGTCAAAGCTAACCAACAAAATTATGGTTAGAGAGATAAAGAGACACCAAAGCCAGTAATATAGCCTTGTCTGCACTTGCAACTCCAGATTTTTTTTTTGTTCTTTGGAGACCTCATAATCTTGAATACACAAGTTTTTATAGATATTGTCCATTTAGGTGACAATCAGCAAAGAATGAGGTGGGTTTATAAACATGAATATTATTTAAATCTAACCATTATTGCTAAAGAATCTACTCAAGATATTGTAATTCCTTAAATGAATTAACTAATTCACATGAAATTAAATTCATGTGAATTTAGCACCTGGTTAAAGGTGGGAAAGAGTTCGAAATTCAGCACATTCACTTCAAGTATGGTGCAAAACTATTCATACGCTCTACAAATATTATCTAATCACTGTAATTTTCAGTGCTCAATGTAAAAACAAGTTTGAGAGCAAAAATTATTCTCTTTAATTGAATTATTCACTGATTTGTTAACACATGCCTCTGAGCAGTTCATAGTCCAGCAGACTGTAACATGGCTACACTGCACCTTCCTCCTACAGCTAAACATTTTGGACCTGAAAAGCAGCATCTTTTCTAAAGCACTCTTGTCTGGGAAGCCAGTCTTTACCTGAGAGAGGTTCCATTGAGCTTGTTGGTTTTGTTGCAATCCATACTTATTTTGTGGTGGTGTGACCATCTGTCCCACCATTCCACCTTGAGGTCCAACGACATTTTGAGGAAGTCCCATCACACCAGTTTGTGCAGTACCAGTAAATCCATTGGGCATTCCCATTCCTATCATCACGCCTGTGCTCTGTCCCATGACTGGCACCGATTGTCCCATCACGTTTCCCATCATCCCAGTTGCTGCTGGCACAGGAACTCCCATGGCTGGAAAGCCTTGAAAGTGAGTTGATGGTTGTGTGGTAAATGGCATAGAAGATGACCCCATAAACATACCTGTACCAGAGAAGGGAAGATTTCAGCAAAAGCATTTTGTGATTTTCCTCCCCCATCCCCATAGGTCAGAAGTGCACCAAAATAATTTCAAAGGATAAGTGTATCCAGTTGTATGTCAGAGCTGTCAATTTACCTTCTGTTAAAACTGAAAATTTGCTTAAAACTTTGAAAGAAAAGGGACTCACCACAAGATTAACTGCCAAGAAGAGTTTGGCAAATCCCTGTGGCCAAACAGAATCTTTTAATTGCTGTATTGGAGGTCTTTGTTTTCGCACAAACATAGCTAAGCTAAACCCAAGCTCTGACAGCTCCATACAGATCTTGGCAGCTGCTGGTTGCACAGTGGAGACTCAGATCTTCAGCAATGAATTAGATCGCAGAAGATGAGTTCACAAATCTTTCAGTAAACTGTACACTTGAAAATTTAAACTGCTATAAATAAATTAAAATCAAATACCGTATTTTTCTTTAGCTTCCATATTACATTTCAGTAATTTTTCTCAGTTTTATAAAAGGTAAAATTAAAAATCTTCATTTGACTGTAGTTAGCAGGTAGCCAACCTTAGCTTTGTATTTGTAGAAGACAACTGTTCTAGGTAAAGCTTAAACTAGGACTGCCCAGAAACCTTCACAAAATTATTTACCTGGAGCATTTTGCTGCTGCATGGTTCCTGTGCCATACAGTGATAAAATGGAGTCTTTGGAGAGTTGTTTCTTTGCTGACTCTTCGGATTTTGTTGTTTGCTCAGTAAATAGATCAAGATCCCCGGATGCCGCAGACAAGGTAGCAGCTGCTGGTTTAGTGGAAGTGCTCTGGGAAATAAAAGTCAAGACAGACTACTGAATGAAACTGGAAAAAGACATTATGTTAAATATTTACTGCACAACCTTGCTCCTCAATTAAATAAAATCCTGCTCATTTACAGAAACTAGATTTTAAGTAAATGAGGATCTAAAAAGATGTGGTATGACTAAAGACAAAAAAGCAGTGCATATGATATGGAAACACCACCAGACCAGATGGAGGTTACAAAACAAAGAAAACTAAATCCTCGACCAGCTCCAGGGCGTACACATACAGATTATTCATTCCTGTTGCTTCTACATTTTTCATCAGTGAGAAGCATAAATCAAGAGCTGGAGTTAGATTATGAAAAATAATTAGGAAATCAATAAGGAGATTACAATTCACATCTCATTAATCCTCTCAAAGGCAGAATAGATTAGAGAAGAGCTAAACCAAAAGATTAAGTGCTTTGAAATGTACCTTTGGAGAAAAGGTAGAAGTAAAATTTTGGTTATCTACTTAAAGTAATAAAATTTCTAAAATACAATGTGTATAATTGGCTTAGAGTTCTTTAAACACATTTCACTTATTGAGAAAACGTAATTATCTAAAACTTATTGTAGTATGACTGAAAAACTAAAATACAGGCAGGCTGGCAGGCTTTTTACTGCTCTTACACTAAAATATTTTGTAAACAAATTATATCCAGGTGTCTCTCAGTGCTGTTATTTTGTTGTTTGTGCACTTAAGTTCCATATGGGGGGCCTCCTTAGGGAACTAGGCAATATATGAGTTCTTGTTATATTCCTTAAAATACACAACTCATCCTGTTAAAAGTATGAACTTTTAAAGCAAGTCAACTGTATGCACAGTGAAAAAGAGCCAGGACTGCAAAGCATACTTGCATTATGGCCTTATTTTAGTCCAGCTAAATGATCCCCAACTGCTTAGCACACACCTGCCACATCCCACAGCACGTGCGAGTTTCAGCTCTTTCCCACACTAAAGGAAAATCTTCCTTGGACTACCACTGTGAATGAACTGGACACAGAACCAGGTCCATCTGTCTCCTGTCAACACATACCCAAGTTTATCAGAGAGACAAGAGGACACCACAAAATATTCAGTCTGGAACACACTTATAAATCTTCCTTAAAGCAAGAACCTCCACCTTCTGGTTTTGCTGACTATGCCCCAAAAAGTCCACTATGCTCACACAAACACCACAATGCAAACATTCAATTTGCAGCTTCAGAAAACACATCTGACTCCTGAAGTACTACAACCTCTAGTTTAAGGCACTGCCACAGATCAGGGAAGAAATAACCACAGAACAATTCTGTTACTAATTAAATTTGTCAGACCAAGAGAAAGGAGCTTAGATTCACATAGTTGATGGTGAAAAATCTCCAAAACCGCTGCAGAAAGGGAAGATAAAAAAAAAACAAGAAATGGGAACTTTCTGGCAACTGAAAATCTGCATTTATACTACAGCCAATTTGGGCCAAAGTCACTAGGACTTAGTGAGCAACAAAGAGTGGGCTGACAGCACTACGAAGGGAAAGCAGACAGAAAAAGATGCATGAAACCTTCTCTCTGGCCAACGTACACTTAAACTATCAATTTCTTCCTACTAAAAAAAACTGCTGCCTCTTACTTACTACTCACAAGAATTTCTGATTGCAAAGCAAAGTCAACTTTTTTTAAATAGGTAGTAGCCCCCAAATAGAGGAAGCCCCCTCTATTTGAGACAATTCTTTATCAGGGTGGCATGAGCAGTCTTTAAAAATACCACAGTCAGATTTAATGATACATTCAGGTAAAAGCCCATCCTGAACAGCAGTATTTGTTTTACTGTGCATACAGCCAGGAAGTCCCAGTATTGAATTGTTCCATAGGGACATGGATCTCCTTCCATGGCGTCTGCCTAAGACAGCCCCCCATGTGACAGCCACGCTCAGCAGACTGAAGGAAGGAGGACACATAAGCAGTGGAAGTGGGTGAACAGAGGTGGCTTCCCCTTCACCGCCTGCGCTGCAGCAAGGAAGGGGTTTGCTTCTCTCTAGAAGGGAGAGCTGGAGACCTGGAGGACTGATCATGTTGTGTTTACATCCTAAATGAACATTTAATGTCTCTTCATTCAGTTTGGTTATGGAAGATCCTCAGAGGAGCCAAAGGACTGAACAATCACTCCCTGAAGTGTTCATCAGCTGAATAAATGGAAGGTAATGCAAAATACATGGCAAGAAAACAACAGGTGGCATTCAAGTAAAAAACAACAACCAACAACACTGACATGATTTTCAGGTATCTAACACTGTCATGCTTCCCAAGGCCTCTGTAAAAACACACATCTGGCATAGATATAATCATTTTCCTACACACAGAGCTCTCAGTCAGTCATGCCAAAACTAAATGCTCAACAGGTGCTTAAGGAACATGCCACTCAGTGGTTTCACGATATTAGTGTAACAGAATTTTTCAGAACTACTGGAAGTCATCTCTGATATGCTTCAAGTCTAAACTTAAATAATTTTTGTCATCGATAGCTTATGTATTACCAATAAAAGGCAATACCCATCCAGAGGAAGTTTTCACTGTGAAATATTGGTTATATGTGTCAGGACCATAAAATATGGTAGCTGAATCTGACACTTCACACTTGCCATCTGACTGCACAAAACAGCATGTGGCTGACAAGAAGTTCAGATTAATGCATGAGACTAAAAAGAAGTATTTTCATTTTGTCTTTTAATTACCAAAAGACTGCAAAACAGATGATAAGATCATTACATCCTCAACATTTTATGTTGGTCTGACAGCAGTAACAGTCCACATGGCTTTTGTCCATTGCTGGTGGTCCTGTCACTGGGCATACCTGGCTCTGTCCTCTGCACCATCCCATCAGGTATTTGTATACGTTGATGAGATCCTCTCTCTCCCAAGTGGATGCTAATCCTCAAACAAGGTCCTGCATTCAGAGAAACTAAAGCCCTTTTGTCACCAGCAGCTCTGCAAGCAATTGTTGGCAGGCAGCATCAGCGCTCTCCTCTTTACACCCTTTCCCTTCACTGGTAAGACTGAGGAGAACACCACTTGGGCCCTGTACCCCTCACTAACCACCTCCAGGGGTCTGCAGTCAACTCTTCCCTCCAGATCATCTCTGACAGTGTCCACATGGAAGAAGAGCAAGGGGTGACAGAGGGCTGAACAAGCTTAAGCATTCCCTTCACAATATCCCAGATCCAAGACACAGGCAAGCAGAAAAATCGTCCAGACAACAGGTCAGCTCTGCAGACAGGGTGCCCCCCTGCCCCCTGCAGCAGGGAGCTGCCCACCACTATCACTCGCCTCTTCATCCTGGTGGCCTTGCATAGCTCAGCATCAGTCACCTCAGGTGCTTCATTTGAAAGCAGCCCTTCAGCTTTGAGGGCTGTGAACCACTTCCACGGTAGGAAATCTTCAGGTGGAGCTGGAGCCCACTTTTTCAAGTGTCAGAAGTCACCAGTCCCATTCTTCGCCTACCCCAGTGCTCGCACTTACTGCCCTGCCAGGAGCAGACTCTGCACTCCAGTGCAGTCAAGCTCTGGGGCTCTTGAAGATGCTGAGTTTCTGAGAAGATCTTGTGTATCCCTCATCCTTTCTGATGCTGCACAGCCTGTTCACTTCCTGCCATAATTCCTCCCCTGGTGACACAGTTCTTGAAGAACAGCACACTTCCTGTGGGAGAGACCATCTCTCATGGCCTCAGAGAGAGGCACCAGGCACTCCCCACAGCCTGCAACCTGCAGGGCTGCATCAATCATCCAAAACTCTGGGTCAACCTCTGCCCTGACAAGGACAGATGCTCCAACACCTACAGACTGAAAGAGAGGTGGCAACAGTAATGAAAGAGGGAAGGGGAGAGTAGGACATGTGCAGTTGAGTGAAGAACTGCAGGAGACAAAAAAGCACATGTGCACTTTCCTGCTACTTGAAGGTCTCTGGCTGGTATCTACAACAACAGGGATGGGCTGTAGAAAAGCCAGGCCTCTACTGCTTTCCATTTATATGGTGATAAATAATGGTCCCACACAACAGTCTCAATTTCTCCCTGCTGACCTGCATAGGGAAAATACAGCCTAGCACACCATTATTCTTATGTAAGCAAGTTAGGCACAAAGTACATTATTAAGGTCTTAAATTCTGTGTACAATTCTTATCCTCTTTATCTTTTCACTGTCAATGCACTTGCTGCTTATTTCAGCTCTTCCTGTTTTTGATCTTGCATATTTTTGTTTTAGACATCTAGACAGTTCCATTAAAAATAATCAACTGTTATTTCCCAGTAATAACTGATGAGGAAATGAACACTCAACTATATTCAGTTCACACAAAAAAACCCACTAAGAAATCTCATCTCTTCTCTTGATTTTAGGAATTATTAGCAACACCTGAAAAAGTCAGATTAAGATTTCTATCACTTCCTAAGATCATTTCCAAAAACATACTTAACCTTAAAATAAGATTAAAAATTCAACTTTATTTCTTGTTGCATGTCCAGTACTCAGGACAAACAACGCAGCATTTTCTTTGCAATCAACCTTTTCTAGGTTTGAAGACCGTTATCTCCCCTGCAGTCTCATTTCTAACTCTTTCCTCAGATTTTCCTTCTCTAGAACTTTAAATAATTTTCCTTTCCTCTAGACTGTCCAGCTGACCCCTTCTGGTTCTGGAATATGATGGCTGTTGTTCCACTATGTTCCACCTAAGGTGTTTCCAGCACCAAAGAGAGTATAATCACAGAATCATAAATGGTTTGAGCTAGAAAAGACCTTAAAAATCATCAAGTTCCAAACTCCCTGCCATGGGCAGGGACACCTTCCGGTAGACCAGGTTGCTCAAAGCCCCATCCAACCTGGCCTTGAACACTTTCAAGGATGAGACATCCACAACTTCTCTGGGCAACCTGTTCTAGTGCCTCACCACCCTCACAGGAAAGAATTTCTTCCTAATATCTAATCTAAATCCACACTCATTCAGTTGG